GTATTTATCTCAGTATATAAATTTTAGATATATTATTAGTGACTTAATGAATTAAAATAATATTTTTAAAATCATATGATTAAAAATAATAATTTTAAATTTAAAAGATGAATAATAAATTTACTCTAAATTTAAAATATTAAAAATTATTTAATAAATAATTATGATAAATAAAATATAAATTAAATAAGAGTTAAAAGAATCTAAAAAATCTCTAAAAGTGTTCTTGCAATTAGATTGTAGTTTATATTTAATATATAAGGGTAAGTTTTTACTTAATAAACATATCACATTAACTTTATTTACTAATTTAATATAATAAAAGTATTTAATTTTAAATAACACATACAAACATCTATAACAATATTCATTCAAATGAATTTTATTTATTTTTAAAAATCATGATTTTCTTAAATTATTTCCAAAATTATAATTTCTTAACATTAAAAAACTTTACTTTTGATGAGGGATAATATGTGGGAAATCCTAAATTGAAACTCCATGGAGGTGTGAATGAATAAAAAAGAAATTAAAAACCTAGTTTTATCCTCGGTTAAAAGCCCAAACCCAAGAAGGTGTGTATATATACATTATACATACATGAGGCAGAGGCAATGGTAAACGATTGAGGCGTGCATCAAGTTTCATGCACCTCATCAGCAGAGTATTGATTCTCAGATCATGAGAAAGTGTGAAGAAACTAATAGGTAAAGTATTATTATTTTTAATATTAATTAACAGCGATAATCACCCACATAAATATTTACACTATCATCACCCTATGTTTTCTTCCAACTTGCAAGCGTTCGTGTGCAATCACCCCTTCTCCTGGTTTTCTTCAATTTTATTTTTCTCTTTTCTATTTTTCAATCAATTTTCGAAATCGATTATCAATTCATCATTTTATTCTTTCAGAAAAAACAATTCGGCGAAGAAGTAAGAGGAATAGAGACAGAAGAAGAAGAATAGCGTTGTTGCCTTAAAATTCACCATAACATCGTCCTTTATTTTGTTGATACAAAAACTGGGTCTTCGACTTTATCGAAGACCGATTAACAACTACGACTAGGTAGATAACCATTGAAACTGTTGTTGTTTTGAGTCTTCAACTTGCCGTGATTGTTTCGTCACTGATCGTGTTCTTTTTGCTGTCATTGTGTGTTTGTTTCTTCATTATGATTGCTTTGTCTTTTTCTTTCCTTTTATTTTTTTAAAATTTTAAATTTTTAATCTTTTATTCGTGATGCAACCAGGACGTGTGTGTGTGTTTGCATATTATTTATTGTGGGAATTGGGGTGTTTGATGTTTCTGTTGTTGGTTTTTCAATTGATGTTATAAGAATGTATCGTGGACACCACAGCAGCGCTGCCACTTTGTTTCTTTTTTGGGAATAAGGTTCTGATGAGTAATTAACTGGGATGAGGTTGAAAATTAAGAATAATGACTGCTTGTGCTGTTTATATTTGAGAAAAAGTTTTGAATAAGGGAAGAGCTTGTTGTTTGTTTTGGATTGGAGTTATGAACTTACCTTTTAATATTCAGAACAACTAGCAAAATGTCAGTTTTTTGGCTAAGAATCCAGAGTTGTTTGGCTTATATTTGGTTCATGGATGGTAATGAATGAAAATTGATGAGGTTTTGAACTGCGCAGGGTTCTGTTTCCATTGGGGTTTAGAGACAGTTAATGGAAAGTCGAGGCCAAAAGCGTCCAGAGATGGTGGATGAACTGCCTGCTGATAAGCGGGCATGCAGTTCATTGGATTTTAGACCAAGTTCTTCAAACTCATCAGTTCAAACCCACATGAATTCAGCAGTGGAGGTGCATGATCATGACATGGATACTTCCTCATCTGCTTCAGCTTCAAGCCAATCAGAGGGAGAGCCTGAGAAGGATTCAGCTTATGGGTCATGTGATTCGGATGACATGGAGCATCATCATAGCTCTCTCCATGAATATCATGGGCGGAGACTGTCCAGTGATCATGGGAAATTTAAAAATATTATATCTAGCTTGAGTGGACAGACTGAACCCTCTTATCAATTAGCTGCACTTACTAAACTTTGTGAAGTTCTGTCTTTTTGTACAGAGGGTTCACTCTCCAGCATGACTTCAGACTTGTTATCACCACTACTTGTAAAGCTGGCAAAGCATGAAAGTGACCCGGCTATAATGTTGTTTTCTATAAGGGCCATCACCTATATATGTGATCTATATCCTAGGTCAGCTGGTTTTCTTGTTCGTCACGATGCTGTGCCTACTTTATGTCAAAGATTATTAGCTATTGAGTATCAAGATGTAGCTGAACAGGTAATTGTTGCTTGTTTGTTTTTTATCCATAATATTTGCTTTGTTGAAAGAAAGGGATATGACTTATTGGTGTTGAAATTATGAAGTGTCTCCAAGCTTTGGAAAAGATTTCGCGGGAGCAACCACTTGCTTGCTTACAGGCTGGGGCAATTATGGCTGTTCTAAAATATATTGATTTCTTCTCAACAAGCATACAGGTAAGGCTCTAACATAGTAGGCCATCATCTTCATGTGAAATTATCATTTTTTCTTGTCATTCTTTAAAACCAATATTTTGTCACTCTGTTTTAGAGGAGTGAAGTATTGTTTTAACGGTTTACGTATTCTCCCCTTCTCCCCCCTTCACCAGAGAGTGGCTCTTTCTACCGTGGTGAACATATGTAAGAAGCTTCCTTCTGAAAGCCCTTCACCTTTCATGGAGGCTGTGCCTATATTATGCAATCTTCTTCAGTATGAAGATCGGCAGGTACCAATGAATGGATTTAAGTTGATTGTAATGCATATTTGTATCTTTAATTCTCTTGTGGTTTCATCTTCCCTTTTGTAATATTTATTGAGCTGCAAATGTGCTTCTGCAGCTTGTTGAAAATGTTGCTACCTGCTTAATCAAAATTGTGGAGCGAGTTGCACAGTCCTCTGAAATGCTGGATGAGCTTTGTAAGCATGAATTGATTCAACAGGTTACACATCTTTTAAGTTTAAATGGTCGAACAGCCCTATCTCAATTAATTTACAATGTAAGTAATTTTTTATATACCATATCCATATCCTTAAATTTTATCTTTTTTTCCTTATGAACTTTAAAGTTGAAATAAATATATTATTTTGCTCGGCAGGGGTTGATAGGATTACTTGTCAAACTTTCATCTGGATCACTTGTAGCCTTCAGGACTTTATATGAACTCAATATAAGCAGCATATTGAGAGATATATTATCTACATTTGATCTCTCACATGGGGTATCAACATCACAGCTTGTTGGTGGACATTGTAATCGGGTATGTTGCTTATGTTTGACTATTTTTGTGTTTGACTGACATGCAGCAGCATAGTTTGATTAATTTCCAATATTCGAAGTGGAAAATATAGTTATCTTCATTAAGTTGATATGAATTTGTTGATTGGTAATGTTTTCATATTAATAATTGGCCCATTTAATTTAAGCTTAGTGGTCATGTGATGCAACTTTTTTAGAATCTATTTTGTTTCTTTAAAGAAAAAAAAACCATTTTTTTCTTCCAAAAACTTAAATAATTATTATAATTTTTAAAATATATCTTTGATAGGAGGCTCCAAATCTTTCAATTAAAAAAAAGGTGAAGCAATCATTTCCTTTCTGAGAAGTATATATGATTATCTAAGATAATATTGCTATTTAGTCCCTAAATGTATCCTTTCTCTACACTCAATTTAATTGAATGCTATGAGCTATAATGTCCCTATGCATTAAAAGTATTCTTAGTTAAATTTGCTGCTCTTGTTATGCTTGTTTAAATTCAATATTCATTTTTATTTAGTAATGTCCTTCAGAAGTACATGGAAAGATTTTCCCTTCATTTAGGAATGTGTGATTTGAGATATTTCTTATAAAAAAGCTGTGTGAAAGATGTTTAATATATTTTGCTGACTTGCTAGGTATATGAAGTACTCAAATTACTAAATGAGCTTCTCCCTGGCCGAGCTAAAGATTCAAATGATCAACTGGTGGTAGACAAAGAATCCTTTTTAGATAATCACTCAGATCACTTGCAAAGGCTTGGAATGAATGTGTTTCCCATGTTAATCCAGGTTGGTTAATATTCTTGTAGTTAGCTAAATGCTCTTCCTTTAGTTTTTTTTTCCCCATTACATTGCAATAACTACTTCATCCTTGTACAGGTGTTTAATTCTGGTGCGAGTTTACATGTTTGCCATGGATGTCTATCGGTTATGTACAAGTTAGTTAGTTTGAGCAAACCTGATATGCTTGTTGAATTGCTTAAGAACACCAATATTTCAAGGTGAAGCAAGCATCCTAATCCTTAGTGTTGCATTATTAAATTCATTTTGTTAAATATATTTATATATTGATTTTGATTTTATCTGGTTAACATGGCAGTTTTTTGGCTGGAGTATTCACTAGAAAGGACCACCACATGCTAATGTTAGCATTACAAATTGCTGAGATAATCCTTCAAAACTTTTCAGATAATTTCCTAAAGTTGTTTGTAAAAGAAGGTGTTTTTTTTGCCATTGATGCACTATTAACACCAGAAAGATCCTCAAAATTGATGTACCCGGTATTTAGTGGCATTCAGCTATCGTTGGACTCTAGTCAAAAGTCTGCTTCAAGAGAGGCCCTCAAGTGCTTGTGTTATGCATTTTCAACTGTCCAATCTCCAATGTCATCAGAAGCCAGAAGTTGCAAACTTGACAAAGACTCTGTTTATAATCTTGCAGAGCACATAAAAGCAAAATACTTGGCACCAGAATTATTTGATTCTGAGAAAGGATTGACTGATGTTTTGCAGAACCTCAGAGCACTTTCTAATGATTTGTTGAGTATGTCCACTGACAATGGTGCTCTTGCTGTGCATGAAGAGAAGATCAATAATATATTGTATCAAATTATTGACAAGCTTACTGGCAAGGAACAAGTTTCTACTTTTGAATTTATTGAAAGTGGAGTCGTGAAGTCACTTGTTAATTATTTATCTCATGGTCAGTATATGATGGAAAACAAGGGAGTCCAGGGTGTTTGTAATTATAATGCTGCTATAGAAAAACGATTTGAGGCTTTGGCTAGTGTATGCATATGTGCTTCTCAGCCAATCTCCGGTGAAACACCCCTTTCTATATTAATCAAGAACTTGCAGACTGCACTGACTTCATTGGAAGCTTTCCCTATTATTCTGAGCAATGGGCCAAAACTGAGAAATTCATTTGCTACTGTTCCTAATGGATGTTCCATCCCTTACCCTTCCCTGAAAGTCCGTTTTGTCGATGGGGAGGGAGAGGCTTTACTGAATGAATCCCCTGATGATTTTCATACTGTTGACCCTTTTTCTTCTATGCATTCCATTGAAGGATATCTATGGCCAAAGCTCAGTGCAAAAAGCACAGAGCATGCTAGATCGTCATCCATCCAAGTAGTTTTGCAACCTGAAAGTTCTCCCCTTCAGTCACCATCAAATGCAAGTTCAGGCCCAGTTGATATTCCCGTAATTTTGGGGACTTCTGACATGTTGACAGATCTCCATGAAACACAGGTGATGTTTGTAAGCCAGGCTATTGATGTACTGAAGTATATGTCTATTTCTGTGTGACTTTTTTATTCCTTGTTAATTTACCTAATTTTTGGTGAATAGGGATATTTTTCCTGATTTAGATTTTTTTCTCAACTATATTGTTTTGCAGAAGGGAGAGCCAAAATTGTCACAGCCTAGACTTGATCAGGCAGTCAATGTGAATGTTGGGGAATCTTCCTCATCTGGAACTCAGGTTGTAAAGATAATGCATAACATTCTTGCTTGTTATTTGTGTCAACCTAAGTTTTTAATTCTACATAATAATTCTAAATTGTGTCATTTCACAGTTTTGAACTTTTTAATAAACCAAGATTATATATTTTCTGATTACTCCAGTGTAATTTTCCATTGGTTTATTGAGATATTACTTTTCCGTTTGTGGTATTCTCTCACTTGCTACTTGTGTTCTCATTCTTGTTTCTTTTTTACAAAAAAAAACTTTTACTAATTTTATAATTTCTATGTTACCATGATAACAAATATTTGGTTTCCCTTCCGAGTGTATTTTAACCTTTTGTGCCCTTTTCTATCAGTGTTATGCTGACCAAGAACAGCAGATGAATGCCCAACCAAACTCAAAACCAGAAAAACAGCATCCTGCATCTTGTAGCAATGAAGCTGCTCAAAAGCTTGTTTTTTATCATGAAGGACAACGTCTGGATCATAAATTGACACTATATCATGCAATTCTTCGCCATATAATAAAGCAAAATGATTCTTTTTCTAGTGCAAAACTGTGGAATCAAATGCATACAATAACCTATAGAAGGGCTGTAGAATCTGAGGACATAATACCTCCAGAATGTCATTCTTCACCTCGGGATTTCTCTGATGATAAAGTTTTAGCTTATTATCAGCATACTCCTTTTTTCTCAGACATGTTCTCCTGTGAACTTGTTTCTGATTTAGAGGATTCAAGTCCAACATATGATATTTTGTTTCTTCTTAAAAGCTTGGAAAGCATGAATAGAATTATATTTCACCTTATGTCTCGTGAAAGAATTTGTGCTTTTGCCAAAGGGGATGTTGATAACCTGGATAGTCTAAAATTAGCAGTTCCTTCTGTCCCTCAAAATGAGTTTGTAAACAGTAAGTTGACAGAGAAGCTAGAGCAACAGATGAGGGACTCTTTGGCTGTCTCCATTGGTGGTATGCCATTGTGGTGTAATCAATTGATGGCTTCATGTCCCTTCTTATTTAGTTTTGAGGCAAGATGCAAGTACTTCAAATTGAAAGCATTTGGTCAGCCACAAGTCCAACCTCACATGTCTCACAGTGGCTCAGGAACAGTAAGTGACAGGCGGCAGGGTCCTGTTGGAATGCCTCGAAAGAAATTTTTAGTTTATCGCAACCGGATTTTGGAATCTGCTGCTCAAATGATGGACCTGCATGCCAGTCATAAAGTGGTTCTTGAAGTGGAATATGATGAAGAGGTGGGCACTGGTCTTGGACCAACTTTGGAGTTTTATACTTTGGTATGCCAGGAGTTCCAGAAATCTGGCTTGGGCATGTGGAGAAAAGATGCTTCTTCCTTTACTCCAAAGACAAACTTGCAGGCTGATGAAATTGGAACCCATTCTTTTTATGGACTTTTTCCTCGTCCATGGTCATCAATGCAAGATACATCTGCTGGCATACAGTTCTCTGAAGTAACAAAGAAATTTAACCTTCTAGGCCAAGTTGTTGCGAAAGCACTTCAAGATGGAAGGATCTTAGATCTCCACTTCTCAAAAGCTTTCTATAAACTTATTCTTGGAAAGGTAATAAATTTGGTGCTATTAGTGAACTTAAAGAGCTTGCGACCTAGCAAAATACTGTAAGATTTACTATGGTGGTCATTATAACTGACTGAATCTCTCTGCTTACTACCATGTGTCTTTAGGAACTTTCTCTCTACGACATACAATCCCTTGATCCTGGGCTTGGTAGGGTGCTGCAAGAGTTTCAAGCACTAGTTATCAGAAAAAAAATTATGGAATCTGACAGTGGAGGGAATCCTGAGTTGCTAAATGGACTAACCTTTCGAGGTACAAGAATTGAAGATCTTTGTCTTGATTTTACTCTTCCTGGGTATCCTGATATTGTTCTTGCTTCTGGGACCGATCATTCCATGGTAAGGCATTGCTTGGTATTTTTGCAATTCAATCTTCACTTTAATTCTTTCAATGGAAGAATATAAAATTTACATATTCATGTTTTTTTAGGTAAATATGGGAAACCTGGAGGATTATGTTTCACTTATTGTCGATGCAACTGTGAGGTCTGGAATTTCAAGACAAGTGGATGCTTTTAAATCTGGCTTTAACCAGGTCTCTCACTTTGTCTTAATAATAGTTAAAATAGATTTTAGCTGCTTTTATTATTTTTTTTAAAGTGACTTTAAAAAGAAGGAATTTTTGCCCTTGTGGTTGTACTAAAGTCAATGTCACTATAAAAGTTGGCAGAGAATTACATATCAAGGATAAAGGAAGGCCCAAAAAGAACTGGTGTTTGAATAACATGATGAATAAAATGAATTGTGCTTTAGGATAACCTCTATAAACAAGAAGAGTATGGATGTCATTGCCTTTCGTTTGGTTTGAAGGTCGTCTTACCTCTAGATGAGACTGGGTTCAATTTATGAACTAATTTTAGGAGTCTCGATAATTTTCAGAGCTGAAAGGACAGGACAGAGAGAAAATAGATGTGTTAGAGAAAATTTAAGCCATGCAATATAATAATTAAGCCATACTAAACGATGCAAACATATCATTTTCTTTTGTGTCTTATATTTTAGTTTGATCATAAGATTGACCATTTTCAGTAGCCTATTTTTGACATTTTACTCCATTTTCAGAAAGCTTCTGCTGAAAACTCTAGTTAAGGCTTATCATATACATTTTCTCTTATTTTCTGTTAAGTACCTCCGGTTGTCCGGTGCTTCTAATTATTAAATTTTTCTAAATCAATTTATATGATCAGGTATCTAAGCTTTCCAATATTCTTAAATGAATCTTAATTTGACCCTATACAGGTTTAGCATTTGTTGCACTTCGTTTAGTGCCCTCATTTTCATTAGGTTTTCAATGATAAAATGTCTGTCAAATTGGAACCGGGATTCACCTCGGTACATCAAAAATCTCAATGTTGTTACATTCTTGGTAATTTTAGCTGCATTGGAACTTAAGGGAAAATGGGGGGAGAAATGGGGTTTGGGTCTGGTGCTCAAGACTCCCGAATCTAGCTAATGAGCTAATGAAAATATGTGAACTATTTCACTGCTAATGAGCTAATCAGAAGTAGGTTTTGTGTCTGAACCATCTTCTAAGTCATTTCTTATTTGTGTCTTCATGGTAGGCCATCAAGATCAGTAACTATATAGTGAATATAAAGTTATCTTTCAGATTTTCCATTTACAATACTGTTCATGAATTTCTACTACATCTTCATTGTAGTGATCAATTCTTTTAATTTCCATAATTGTTTTCTACTTTCAGGTTTTCCCCATCGAACATCTTCGGATTTTCAATGAAGAAGAACTTGAGCGAATGCTTTGCGGAGAGTACGACTCTTGGGCTGTACGTGCAAATTTCATTCTTTTAATCAATTATATATAAGTCCTTTACTTTTCAGGTGGTGAGGAAAAACAATTAAAAATTATAATGCCTTTTAACAGATTAACGAGCTTGGAGACCACATTAAGTTTGATCATGGATACACTGCTAGCAGCCCTCCCATTGTTAATGTAAGCATTCATGTACTATTAGATGTTTTTGATCTTACTGAAACATTTTTTTTCCTTAACCTGAACCTCGTAATTTTATGGACCATCTACTGCTGTCGACTCAGTTGTTGGAGATTGTCCAAGAGTTTGATCATGAACAGCGACGAGCATTTCTGCAGTTTGTGACTGGTGCACCTCGGCTTCCTCCTGGAGGATTGGCATCTCTCAATCCGAAGTTAACTATTGTCCGAAAGGTATGCATTATATAATTTATATTTTGTGTGGTTTTTTATACTTAAGAATACCATATTTTTTCTGTGTTATCTACTTATACTAGTGTGTTTTAACAGCATTGTAGCAACCGAGCAGACACAGACCTACCTAGCGTGATGACTTGTGCAAATTATCTTAAGCTACCTCCGTACTCATCAAAAGTACCTTACCAATTTATACTATTTAAACTTGGATTAGTAAAAACAAAAAAGTTTTAGGAAGTGATTATTTTTACTTTTGAGCCTAAATATTCGTTTATTCAATTTCAGGAAAGGATGAAAGAGAAGCTGTTGTATGCCATAACAGAGGGTCAAGGATCTTTCCACCTTTCGTAGTTTCACTCTCTTGACTGGATTCGTATTTGAATTATGAAGATGAAGATGTAATTATTAGGGTAATTGTTAGTAATGTAGATAAAGGTGCTAGTGAGTTGCTGGCAGTGGTCTCAATGAGTTTCTTGCAGTGGTGGTCACGAGTTACTTGGGGATGAAGCTACTTTCTTCACTGACAACAATTGTTGGGGGTGTGTACATAGCACGCTGATAGTTTAGTTGATTGACTGGTATCAGCTGTACAGAAACGGAGGGCACTTTCAAGGGTCACGCTTTGATTTTCATGTACAGTATTGTGTACAGGAACCTGATCATTAATATTTTAGTCGTTTACATGAAAAATGATATTAGTTCCTATCTCTGCTTCTGTTACCTCTTCAATGGTTCTAAATTATATTTGATTTTCCTTAAAGTATCGTACCACTTTCTTCTTTTAATTTTTTAACTTCCATTTACAAGTTAAAAGCTTCTTTAATCTTTGCTATGTTAAATCTATACCGTTTGGTGGCCGACTTGCCCGAATACTCGAGACCGTTGCTTATGTCGAGTACCTGAACCCGCCGATCACCCCCAGATGGGGCGAAACGTGTCGGCGGAGTCGGCCGAGTATGTCGGCATCATCAAGATGGTTACGGAGAGAATAATTAACATAATGCATAGGATTAGACCCCTAATTTTCCGGGGCCCAGTCCCTAAGTGCGGTCCAATAAGAGCTACTATAAATAGGACCCCAACGAGGTATGTAATTAATTCTGAACTACCGCATTTATTACGCCGAGCACTAACTTGAGCGTCGGAGTGTCTTTGCAGGCACACCCACCCCCGACTTTGGACTACCCGGATAGGAATGAGAAGACCGAGACCCAGGATCAGACCCGCTACAACAAGGATAATTGAGTGTGTATCCTAACACAGGAACATTTGGCGCCCACCGTGGGGCCAAAGAGGCGCTTCAGCCCTGTTGAATTTTACGACTGAGACCGAGATATGGTAGTAACGCGAAAAGGACAATCAACAACAACTCAACCGATACCTAACCCCGAAAGTAACCCCGTTATGACCAATCAAGAGCGTTACCCGTATGGAATGCCTCAAACCGAGCCAGAACCGGTGATACAAGAGGTCCGGCCAAACACTAACCGAGACCAACCTGATCTCCATGATGACTTGCGTGCATTGCGCGAGGAAATGGCCGCTATCCGAAGGCAAAGAGAGGCCGATGCAAGGGAGTTGGCCGAACTGCGCCGACAAAACGCCGAACTCCAAAGCCTTAACCAAACATATGTGTCGTCAACCCCTACTCTTCAAGAGGAGTCGACATATCATGCCCCGACCGACTATGTGACCCGAACCCTGGTCACCTCATTGATAGCTAACAAGGCCGATACCACCACTCACTCTCTAAGACATCCTTTTTCCCGAAGAATAATGGAGGCAACCCTGCTAGACCATTGGAAAAGCATGCCGATTGAGAAGTACGACGGGTCATCCGACCCCGAGGAACATTTGAATGTTTTCTTGACGCAAGCGACCCTCTCCACTCAGGACGACTCGGCTTTGTGCCGAATATTTCCCACGTCACTGAAGGGAAGAGCTTTGAGTTGGTTCACGAGGTTGCCGAGCGCCTCCATTGACTCGTTTAGCAAGTTGTCGTCCCAGTTTACCCTACAGTTCGCAACGAGCAAGCCGTACAAGACGACCTCTTTAGCCTTGGCGGGGTCCGTCAGGAGAAGAAGGAAAGCTTGAGAAGCTTCATGGACAGATTCAATAAGATTGCAATGGAGATTGGAGATCTCAATCCCGCCGTGGCATTGGACCGGCTAAGTACAGCCCTCCGGCCGGGACCATTTGTAAACAACTTGTGTAAGAAGCCCCCAGTTGATATGAACAACCTCCGGCGCCGAGCCGAGAAGTACATGCAAATGGAAGAGCTTGCGGAGACTCGGAACCAGGCCAGGGTCGAAGAAAACTATAGCTGGAAAGAATCTGGCCGAGAGCAGGTGAAAAGGGTGAATGCCGGGCCCTCGAATACTCGCCCCCCAAGAGGACCTCGCTACGCAGCCTACACTCCTCTTAATGCGAGTAGAGCCAAAGTGATGGAGCAGGCCCTCGCATCAGAGATACTTGCGATGCCGAAAAGGGCGAACACACCCCCCAGGGCCGACAAAGCCAAGGCGTGCCGATTCCACCGAAACAGGGGGCACTCCATTGAAGAATGCTCCGCGCTGAATAGGACGACCCCATGGTGATTTCGGTCGAAATGCACAACTGCATTGTAAAGAAAACGTTGGTCGACCAGGGGAGCTCGGCCGACATCTTATACTGGAATACTTTTGTACAACTCGAAATCCCGGAGGAAAGCTTAGAGCCATACCACGAACCACTGGTCGGCTTCTCAGGTGAAAGAGTGATGACAAGGGGATGCATCGACCTATATACCCGCTTTGGGTTCGACCAAAAATCTTTCCGGGAGGTCAAAATCCGTTACATTGTGGTGCACGCAAATACATCGTACAACATTCTTCTAGGCCGACCATCAATTAATGCTTTAGGGGCGATTGTCTCGACCCCTCACCTATGCATGAAGTTTCCGTCGAGAGATGGACAAGTGATAACCGTGCATGCCGATCAAAAAATAGCAAGAGAATGCTATCTCTCCAGCCTAAAAGTACAGTCACTGGGCGATCCCCCGAAGATGAAGGGTGTGAACGTAGTAAGGCAACAGACAACGGAGGACATCGACCTTGATCCCCGGCTGGGTGAAAAAGAACGAATCGAGCCAACCGAGGGCCTCATGCCTTTTCAACTGGGCAAAACACCCGAACAAATAACAAACAAGGGATCTCAGTTGAGCGAGACCGACTCAAACCGAGTCGAGCGTGTAGTTAGGGACAACCGAGACCTATTCGCGTGGACGGCATCAAACATGCCAGGATTAGACCCCAAGTTTCTCTGCCGAGACGCACGACCAGTCGCGCAAAAGAAAAGAAAGATGGGAGATGAGAAGCAAAGTGCCGCGAATGCCGAGGTGAAAAAATTGTTACAAGCCAAATTCATAAGGGAGGTCACGTACACAACCTGGCTAGCCAACGTGGT